CACACAGATCCATTAGTTGATTAAAGCGATTCAGAAGCCAGAAGGCACCACTACTCCTGATTATTCTCTGACACAGAGCGCTGCCTCGCGTTTCCCCCAGCAACCAGAACAAAGAGCTGCTATACTCAGCCCCAGGACACAGAAACCAGTGAAACACCAGAGGCCGTCCATCACACGCCTGTCTGCTGCTCATACAAACATCAACATGCACACAAAGACGACACCCCGAGGCACCGTGTCTTCTTTTGAAGGATCTGAACACACTCACACAGCATCTGGAGTACTATTAGCTTCAGCTCTCCTGCTCCCATCGCCGTCTCTTCCTGTTTCGTTTACTCACTCATTTCTCTAATGTCATATTTGTCTTCTTGTCCCTCTGCACCATCTCTCTCTCTCTCACACATCAACACAAGACTCGCATTTCTGAGTCCCAACTTTCATATCTAACCCAGATCTTTCTCCCTCTAATGTTTATCTCCTTTCATCACAGCTGAAATGCAAAGCTGAGTCCTCACATTTCCTTCAGAAARATTTTATGGTMGTGACATTTATCAATGAAACGCGTTTTGTACATTTTAACAAGAGGATCTGCTGCTCCAGCTGGAAGAGAAAAGTTAATCTCTGAATCTAAGGTGAAAAACAGAACATTGAGTTTCTGACTCCTGACAGCAGAAGATTACTTCAGAGTAAAATGTCATGTTGGTTTATTCTGCTGGGAGAGAGAAATCCAGATCCCTGACAGATAATTACTGGTGTAGCTGTTGTTTGTACGGCACAACAAGAAAGCTGCCATGTCTGTTTTTTCTTACTGTTGWAAAAACAAGACACTTTATAAACCTTTAATACAGTTAAGATTTAAAACAGTGTTTTATACACTGAACAATGATGTAATCAGATCTGTTGGGACAAACCGAGAGCAGAGGTTTGAGCTGGAAGCTAACAAGCTAACAAAAGCTTGTTAATGTAGCAGTTGTGGTTCCCTCCTCCRATTCTTTGGTTGGCAGCAGARTGAGTGCAGSTGCACCTACCTCTGATGTCACCTGGAGCRTTATAAGAGTCTCATTGAGACCTGGACCTTCACTGGAACATCAGCTACCAATGATATTGACGGTATTTACTTAATCTTAGTGAATTCAASTTACCAGAGTTGTACTTCCCTTTGTTTTTGTGTTTTTCTGAAGTCGTACTGAAGCTCTAAAGAGGTTATTAGATGTGCCTAGAAGAAACCTTGAGATATACTCACCTCCTGCCACGCCCTGTCTGCCGTACCTGCCATCCTGGATCCATGCTCACCTGCCAGTGTTGCCAGGTCCGCTTATTATAAGCAACTTTGGGCTACTTTTTTTATTTCCTAAAGTCGATTGTAAATTCCGTGAGTTGTGGGTTGTGTTTTTTGGGCTTATTTTTGAATGTGAGATGCTTATTTTGGGCTTGTCTTTCTTTATGAATGACATGATTAACTCTGCTCCTGTTGAAGGCGACCACAAGGAGTAGTGGGTTTGTCTCTCCCATTCCCCRGTTTCCTGGTTGWCGCTCCTGCCCGACTTGAGTCGGCACACRTCAAACACACACACCAGAGCCCAGAGTGACGGGGAAACAAGCAGGCGTGAGGCAGTGCGGTCCGGTCCGGTTCAGAACTTATGACAGGAGACTTAATACAGTGGACATGCACGTCTACTTCTAAAACACAGTGGGGATTGGTGCGCTCGATTTAATGGACTGGGACATTTTACACAGGTGGTGCACAGACAAAAAAATAAATGAATAAAATACGCTGCTTACATTGGGATACAAATACAGTACAGTAAAAATATTGATAAGTTTTAATTTGTTTGGAATTTGCTGATTAAATTGCATGAATTGATCGAGAGAGAACAATATGAGCCAGAACCAATTTTTTTTAATATATCAGCAAAAACTAATTCTTCACCTCTGGATATGAGTGACAAAACAGAGTGAGAATGACTTGCAGTAAGTCAGGAAAATATGGGGAAAGATATAATAAAGAGTGAGGAAAAAAGAGTGCACAAATATTTTTAGGAGTTTTTGTTGACTGTACTGCCATTTTGCAGCAAAATGCACTTTTCTTATGATCAGAGTTGAAATAATTTAAATTATTCAAACCATTAAAAGTTGTTCATTTTTATGGCAATTTTTACCTTAATGTTGCTGTTGCTTATACAATAATAAATGTATACATTTATACAGTACTGTTATAATTTACCTCTATTTTACACAGTGTGGGGGGTTGCCAGTTGGGCTTATTTTGGGCTTGTTTTCATAGAGCTGGTTGTTTGTTTCTGTCGTGAGATCTGGCAACACTGCTGCCAACTCACAGCTCCTAGAAACCACCTACCTGTCACGAGTCCTGGTCCAGTGTCTCTGAAGGTAACCTTACCTGTAATCCTCTGGCGATCTTTCTTGAAGAAGAAAGCCCGTCATCTCAAAGCTCCAACCAACTCGTCTCTCCTCACAGGTTCAGAAGCTGTTTCCTGCCTGCACAGTAAATAAACTAAAAAAAATATTTGTTTTTTGTAAAAATGTTATAAAGCTGAGGCCAACCAAAAGTAGCTGCAAAACCAATGCTAAAAGTAGAAAAGATTAGGTAAATTCTAAAATAAGCTAAGTACCATTTAGGTGCCAAAAGTGGTGAAATGTTTGTTAAACTCTTCAGAGTGTATGTCAGCATGTACAAACTCTACTTTAAAAAATCTTTATCAAAATAAAGCTGAGATTTACCAAAAGTAACAAAATGATTGCTAAAAGCTAAATATAGCATAAGGGTAGCCAAAGGCTGAAGCAGCAAAACTGTAGCTAAAAGCTAGTAAGAAGATACTAGCTAAAAGTAGCAAAGTGTTAGCTAATCACCAAAAGTTGCAAATTGACATCTAAAGTTTAAAAGAAGCCTGAAGCTAATCAAAAGCTACAATAGTAGAACCATAGCTAAAATTATAAAAAGCTTAGCTAAAAAAACTTAAAAGCAGCAGGACCATTGCTAAAACTATCATTTGAAGACAAAAATTAAACTAATATGCTAATTTTAGCAATAATTTAATGTATATTGTAGATGAGGACCAGCAGCTTTAAGTTCTGGGTAATTAGACAGATTATTTAATTACAGTAATAACTGGTATAATCTGAGCAGCTTTTCAGAGGAGGAGCTCCAGATTAGCTGTGAAGCATGGGGATGGTGATGTCATGCTATGGGATGCTATCTATTCTCAGAACCTAAACAGGTTTTGTTCATCTAAATGTGACTTTTCTACCTAAAATAAAGCCCAGAAACAATTTCAATCTTTATTTAAAAACTGAACTAACTTTTATTTAATAAATGATTAAAAGTTCTTTTTTTATATTTTCTCTTGTATCTCAAGTAATGAAAGCTTGATTAGCAAATACAAAGTTAGACAATCAAACAAACAAACAAAAAAATTACACATAAAAGCAGTACAAAGTGGGGAAAAGAAACATCAACAAACTTACAAATCTTACTTCCTCTGCAGTGACGTCGTGGTGAACCCTGTATCCGCTGGCGTTTTCTCGTGGGTCGTGACATTTGACCGGACCTTTGCCCTGAGCGTGGCTGGTGTAGTAGCGCACGAACCGGGAGCGTCGGACCACCAGGTGGAGCAGGAAGCAAAGCATCTCCATGCTGATGGAGACCAGGAAGAAGATGAGGGTGTTCTTGTTCTCATCTGAGATCAGCAGCTTGGTGAAGATGCGCGACAGAGAGATGATCACCCCAGCTGTGCCTGACGGGTTCATGCACACAGTTGAGTTAAAGACCTGTGTGTGTGTGTGTGTGTGTGTGTGTGTGTGTGTGTGTGTGTGTGTGTGTGTGTGCACATATTCACAGCATTATAGTGTAAATGGGATAAAGAGACTCG